GCGGGGAGGCAGGCTGTAACTCTGACAGCGACTAGACTGGCTGCGAACACTCTAAGGGAGGAGCAGGACCAGGAGAGGGCGGGAGACCAAGAACTTGCTCCAGGAGCGGAATGAAGTACGACCTCGGCCGCTCAGCGCCTCCAGAACCAGCAAGGACGGATCCAGTACCTCCAGCGGGAGCACTAGTGCCACCAGAATCTCCAGCTCCAACAGCTCCAACTCCAGCACCCTTAGAAGCACCAGCGCCAGCAGCACCGCCAACGTCAACACCCCCAGCAGCTCCAGCTCCAGCAGCACCAGATCCATTAGAACCGCCAGCTCCAGCAGCCTCAGCAACGCCCCTAGACGCACCAGCACCAGTAGAAACACCAGCACCAACACCTCAGCAGCTCCACCTCCAGTAGCACCTGCACCAACAGCAGCTCCAGAGCTCCAGCAGAAGCCCCGGACTCAGCAGCACGTCTCCAGCGGCTGGCGAACCACTCGCGCAGCTCCTGTGGACAGAGCGGCTCCCGCCTCGGCGAAGCACCACCGGCGGCAACACGAGCAGACCCAGCACCCCCAGGCTCAGCACCCCCAGGCTCAGTACCCCCAGGCTCAGCACCCCCAGACTCAGCACCCCCAGGCTCAGCACCCCAAGTCTCAGCACCCCCAGACTCAGCACCCCCAGACCCGGCACCCGCAGGCTCAGCACCTCTAGCAGCACCAGAGTCAACTGCTACCTTGACAGGCTCGACTACGTCTACCTGGGACACACCTGACGGGGCAAGACCCTGAGGGGGGAGGGGGTCGACCTGGGTAGCACCTGGCGCAAGGAAGAGCGGCGGCGGGGGAAGAGGGCGCAGAGCGGTAGGGGAAAAGACGGTAGTAAGGCATTGACTCGTCAAAGGTGACGTCCTGGGAGGACAGAACACGGCGCGTGGTGGGGTGGTAAAATTGCCAGCCAGGCGCGTCGGGGGGGAAGCCAAGGAAGACGCACAGAACAGCACAGGGGGACAGCTTGTCCGCAGACAAACGCTTGAGATCCCCAGACCCAAAACGCAGACGCATCACCAACCTTCCCTATCCTCTGCATGGCGGGGGAGGTCTCTAGCAAGGAGACCCGGGGCTGAAGGCTGAGCTGATGCGCGGCGTACTGAACCGCAAACGGCCACAGAAAATCGGGGGCAGCCGCATGTATCATGGACGTACGAGCGACGTTCATGACCATGCCAATGCGGTGCTAAGCAATCCCATTTTTCTGTGGAGAGGCCGGAAGCGTGAAGGTCTGGCGGATGCCTTGTGCACGACAGAAGGCTCCCTGACGGGCAGAGGAAAACTCCCCGCCTCTGTCCGAGTGCAGACGCAGAACTGGAAAGTCCGAGCCGAAACTCTCTCTGAGCTGGAGACGAGCTTCGCGGATCCAGTCGATCAACACCTCAGTGACGTCACCCTTGCTGCGCAAGGGGAAGACTGTGGTGTAACGCGAGTAGTCGTCAACGACCAGCAGAAAGTAACGCTCTCTCCCTTGCCCACTGACGCGGGCTGGTCCCCACACGTCCATGTGTAGAGTTTGCAGCGTAGCCTCTGTAGGAGGAAACTCGGAGGAGTGAGGGGCGGCGCGCTGTCGCCCCTCGACGCAGGAGACGCAGGTAGGGCCAGGCCCCGGAGGAAGGGGAGGGAGAGACCGAGGGAGACCAGAGACAAGGACACGGGAGGTCATGCCTTGGAGACGAGGCAAGGAGGGGTGACCAAGGCGGTGGTGCCAAAGGAGAGTCTGGTGGGATAGCAGATGACACGAGCAGGGGGTAGACTCAGGACCAGACCTGGACGCCGCAGCAAACACTTGACTCAAATCAGCTACCTGACCAGACTCAGCAGTAGGAGGAGACTCATTAGTAAGGGTGTACAGGCTCGACCCTGGCCGACGGGTGAACGTGGCCAAGTGTCGGCCTGTCCGAGCACACGTGCAGTGGGTCACTCGCTGACTCGCAGGAGTGAATTGGTCAACCCCTCGATCCTGTAGGTCCGCTCCACTCACCAAGTTCGTAGAGAACGAGGGGAGGTACAGACCAGACAGGGTGCCAGAGGGGGCTGCAGAGGACGGAAGGATAGTGGAGAAGCTAGCAAGGACAGGACCCCCAGAGGGGTCTGACAGGGAGACCGCAACTGGCCGACTAAGCGGCGTAAGAGTGGTGCGGTCTCGAAAGAAGGAGCGGGACACACCCGAGCCCAGGGTGAAGGTGTGGAAGGCCTGAGCCGACGTAGTACCTGAGAGAGTAGACTCACCAGCACCTGGGGCAGCAGACGCACTGGCACCTGGGGCAACAAGCGCACTAGTACCTAGAGCAGCAGCCTCACCAGCACCTAGCGCAGCAGCCTCAATGCCCGGGTCAGGCGGTACACACAGGCAACAGGCACCCTCAACACTATCAGCAACAGCATACATGGCAGCAAGAATAGCATCAAAGTCAAGATCAAAGATAGCAACACCGGCCTTAGCCAGATCTCCCTAGCAAGGGATCCTGACGCCTCAGGGAACTGGCAACGCCACGCGTCCGTCAGGCGACCAAAGCAGCGCTGGGTGGAGTGCAGGCCTCCGCACTGCTCACCAGTGCAGTCACCGGTACGGAGGACGTAAGAGCAGGGACCAAAACCCCCACCGCGCTGGCGCGCAGTGTAGCACTCACGAAGCTGCTGAGGGGACAGGGTCACACCACTCTGCTGCTGTTGCTAGCGCTGACCACCACCGGTGCCACTCCTCTGCGCAGAGTCGCGACTCGCTCCACCACCGCCGCTTCCACCGCTGCCGCCACCTTCGCCGCCTTCGCTGCCTCCTCCACCTCCGCCTCCTCCACTACCTCCGCCTCCTTCGCTCCCTCCGCCACCTCCACCGCCTCCGCCGCCTCCACTGCTGCTGCCGCCGCTGTCACCCCCGGCACCACTCCCATCACCACCCCCACTCCCTCCACCGCCTCCACCACCACCTCCACCGCCCCCTCCAGCCCCTCCAGTGTCCTTGCCCCCCTTGCCCTTGCCGGTGTGGCGTCTCCCACTCGGGGCAGACGCAGCGCCGACCGACTCGAAACCAACAAGGTCGGCCGTAGAAGCAGAGGCAACAGAGGGCAAGAGGGGGGAGGGAGAACACCCCTCAAAGACTGGGATGCGAGGGTCACCACGAGAGGCTCCTACAGCGACTATGCTTTTCTCTATCGCTAGGAGGGCCTTCTTGAGGAGGTCAACGGTGAGAGTGGTGGGGCAAACAGAGAGGAAGTGGTCCCTGACTACGCGAAGAGAGTCAGGGAGCCGGGTGACTATGTAGTAGAGGGTGATGTACATGGGGGGGGGGGGGGGTTCTTGGCGCAGAATTCAGCAGGAAGCGCAGCGCGGTAGTGAGTGTCACTAGTGCGGAGGTGCGTAATGAGGTTAGCGATTGTGGGAAAGGCAGCAAGGTCAAGGAAGAGGTACGGTAGCATGAGGCGGCTCAGTGCACCACTGGCAGGGGAAGAGTAGCGTGCAACTACAGCGACGTACAAGGTCTGAGCACTCTTGTATTGGCTAAAGTGTGCACGCTGAGTGGTCAGTAAGTGGCGGCGCACAGCAAGGCGAGCAGCAGCATCACGTGTGGCCCACTGTGAGCGAACAGTGGCGTCAGCATCAGCAGCAAGGGCAGGGTAGGTACCAGAATTGAGGTCAAACAGGGAGAGGCCGTCTGCCCTATCGCACTGCAGCTAAGGGGTACCGTTGGATTCGGTGGGGCCCACTGATTCGCTGGGCAAAAGAGTATCGTTGGATCAACGGTAACCAGCGGTAGATACTTAAGCAAGTAGGCAAAGTAGGAGCCTTGCTTGCGTGTTTGCTTTCACACTATGCTTAAACTCCCTTCTCTCACCACGGGTAACTAAGCAGGAGAAGCCAACCATCGCAAGCACTTGCTTCCGTGTAGCCTACTTGAGATCCAGTCAGCCTAGCTAGGGTTGTCTCTTCAGTAGGAGTTACAGACACCAAGCTTATTACAAACCCGCAAGGGATATTGTAGATGAATATTAGGGACCTACTGCGAACGCAAATGTGGGACAACACCAGAGAATTGAAGCCTACAGCTGGGTGGGGAGCGCACGTTGGCACTGCAGGCAAGAAGCCTGCTCCGTCGCGACCAACTTATATCGTTTCACATATCAGTTGTTGATGCGTCGTAAAAAATGGCAAAGAGCAGGTCGTCATGAGTCGCTGATCCACCCATTGGTGAGGTGCAATCGATCTGGCATAAACTGGTCAGGGAAAGCGACTAATTTGCCAAAAGTGGAAGTGGCGGAACGCGCATTCGCAGAGTGGGAGCGAGTTTGAAAAATTACCTCATGCAACTCAAAACGGTCCTGTGCTGTTGGGAAAGAGACGGCTACGACCTGGCTGAGTTATTTCGAAAGATGGTGGGAACCCTCGAGGGAGAAGCAAAGACGTTTTATTGGTTGGTGTGGGATGATGTTTTGGAAGAACTGGCGGAAGGAGAAGTTTCAAACCCCATGGCGAGGTTCATACAGTTGCTGCGGAAGGAGTTTCTCGGGCAAACGAAGGCTCGGGTGGAAGAGTTTCGGAATTCCATAGTAAGAAAGACGAGTCCCTACTAGCGTAGTACTGCAGACTCCGAGAGCTGGCGGAGGATCTGGAGAGTACAGACGAGCGGCTGCTAGTGAGGAAATTCGTACGGAGACTGGAAGACGAGCTGCGGGGAGTTGTACGGAGCACCGTGTATGGCATCGGTGCAGATATTACGCTTAAGGAAGTGTATCAATTAACGAAGAAGACGGAACATGCGCAACGCCTGTTGGATTTGGAGGACACCGAAAGTCATAGCCGGACAAAGACGAGCTGGACGAAGGCTCCAGTCTGCGAGCAGTGCGGAAAACGGGGACAACGGAAGGAGGACTGCTATAGCCAAACGAGAGAGCAGGTGGGGCCAACCAGAGAAGAACTACAGGAGGTCAAACGGATGCAGCTACGACTGGAGCAGATGCCTACTTCTAAGGATCTGAGGTACCGCGCGCTGCTTGCGTACGAAGAGATTGAAGGAGAGGAAGAGGGGGAGGAGGACTAAAGGAGAGAATATGCAGTGATGGCATACCCCCGCGAGAGAGACGATATCCACCTGAGCCCGAGAGCAAGCCAATCACAAGAAAGCGATGCCACCAACGGACCCAGCCGAAGGTGTCAGTAGATCTGCACTGTGGATGCCCGACTGATCCTGGAGAGGGTTACAGGCGCGTTCGCCAGGGGGGTTATGGGCGCACTGACCCGCTACTAAAACAAGCCCTTTTATCCCAATGGTCTAGTGGTTGGGATTCTGACATGGTATCAGAGCGGTCTCGGGATCGATTCCCGGTGTATGCACATGTAGGCCGTTGCCGCTGTGCTTAGTCCTGGGCCTCCCAGTGTGGGGGGGTGTCAGTAGATCTGCACCGTGGATGCCCGATTGATCCTGGAGAGGGTTACAGGAGCGTTTGCCAGGGGGGTTATGGGCGCACTGACCCGCTACTAAAACAAGCCCTTTTATCCCAATGGTCTAGTGGTTGGGATTCTAACAGAAGGAGCAGTCAGCGGGAAAGAACTTCACACCCCGAGATGCGGAGGCACCCAAACAAACGGCTTGTATGCCAAGCGTCGGTGTTAACAGCGGAGAAAGGGAGCATCATGGCGGGTGGATTGTCAGTGAAACAAGCTATTATCCGGGGGCACACCATGTGCTGATCGGGAAAGGGCTCGCGAAGCAGTTCAAGCTAGACCTGCCCGGATAGACCGTGGAGTGAAGGATATTACTAATAACAGCGGAGGGAGGGGCACCCAAGTGGATGCCGGTGGAGATGGTGCTCCTGCCAGGGACCGAGAAGGAATGCTGCATCCAGTTGCAATGCGGCATATTGGAGTCGGAATATTATGACGTACTTTTTTTTATTTGGTTGTAACTATATTATCAAACATGGATACATCCGCAGTCGTAACTGTATACTTAGAGGGCCTATGCTACACCGCAATGAGGTGTCGCATGTCCCCCCATGGCACCAGATGGACAGAAACTGATCTGACCAGCTTGCAAGACCATCCACGTTGCAGATTCCTTGCAGTTGCTCCCTCTCATCCTTTGCCACATGTCGCCATTTATCTGTTCGTATATCACAATCCACCTCACCCGTGGCCTTGCCTCTCCCACGTGTTGCCAGCACCACCCTCGCATGCATCATAAAATCCAGCACCGCATCGCGACCCACTTTCTTCCGCTCGAAAGCTTCAGCCCTCCAAACTGCATTACATCTTGCCAGCCAAATTTGTCGTAACACCGCCGCCGTCAATGTAATCTCCGGAAAACCTGACGCTGTCCCCCCTTCTCCAAACAGAAGGTCATCCAGCGAGTCCACTTGTCTGACCGGGTTTAGCATGCGCAACGAGCGCTTAAGCGCGCCAATTACTGGCTGAATGGCCGGGCAACTGTAGAGACAGTGGACTAGGGTTTCCTCCTCCCCACAGTGCGCGCAGCTGATCTGGTTCTGAAAGAAGTCTAACCTCCCCCCCACCTGGAGGTTCTTGCTGTGTATCCGGAGCAACACATCCCTCGCTTTGAGTGGGACACTGATTGAATCCCGCGTATTGATGGCCCTTTTCCAGTCAATCCTCTTGCCCCACCCTTCTTCCCACTCCGTATGCCCCCACGAACGCCCCGCCGATTTGGTGAGCGTCACCCGTATCTTACGCAGAGGCGCCAGTCCTCCCTCTTCGAACAGCCCACAGCAGGACAACAGCTTAGCCTTCGGGTCACCCGCCTGCCCTAGCAGCCTCCCCTCCTGGACGATTAACGGCTGCAGGCGGCATGCTTCGAAGCAGGTCTCCCTGTTCCTTGCCGGGGCGAGAAGCATCCCGTTATCACCGATTACCATGTACGAGGCAAGAACTCCCCCCTTGTCTATGCCCTTCACTGCCCATGGGGGGCCCGCAGGTTCACCCCGAAGGATGTACTTCACCACCCCTGACACCGCCACCACTTCCTCTGGTGTCACCGGCTCCTCAACCAGCTTTTTCCACCCCGGCGGCGTTGCCGCATACGCTTTGCGTGCCATGATCGCCGCCTCCTTGGATCCCAACTCCGAAGTTAGTATCGCTTCTTCCTTCAGCACCCTTCTTCCCCTCAAGCCGTCGGTAAGCAAGTCGCGTATCTGCGTGCAAAGGAGATCCTCCGTGCCCAACTGGTGCCCAAAAGGGTTATTTCCTCTGTGCATGATGTACCGGTTGAAACAGATGAACTGCCCCTCCACCTCCCATCTGCTCGCAGGTTCCGGCAGGGACGCAAGGGGCGACTTCCAGAAGACTTTGACCGCCGCCTTCCATCTCTGACTCCCTTGTTGCCATCGTTTAATCGCAGACGGGTGTGCATGAAGCGTCGCCCACCCTTTTGGGAAACTCGCCGCCTTTTCCGCCAACCATCGTCGCGCTCCATCCTGTTCCCTCAGCAGTTTGCCAATTCTGTGGATTGCCAACCTGTCGAGACAGAGTTTTGTGTCGAGTTGGCCCAATCCCCCATCCTGTCGCGGAAGACATGCCAGGTATGCACTCCAGAGAATGAAAACCTTTTCCTCCACTGCCTCCCCAGCTGAGACGAAGGCGTAGCAGAGCTTTCTTATCTTCTCCCACAGCTCGTCTGGCGGCGAATACACATGCGCCTGAAACATTAATACCGGGAGGACATAGCAGCTGATAACCACTACCCTCGCCGTTGTCGTGAGGTACTGCGACTCCCATTTTTTAAGCTCCTCTTTTATCCTCTCATAAGCCCTCTCCCAAGATGGACCAGCGTTACCAATTGGCGCTATCCACACACCGAGGAGGCGTTCCAGCTCGCCCCTCTCCGACCACTTGTACGGTATGCCTGTCGGCGCCATGGTTCCTCTGTTACACCCCAACGGTAACACCACGGACTTGTCGTAATTCACTTTCAGCCCTGACTGCTTGCTGAAAGTGTCTAACACCCCCACCACCTTCCGCAGCTGTTCCTCCCCTTCTAGCAGGAAAGACGTGTTGTCCGCATATCCCACGTAGGAGATTGGTGTCTCTCCAGGCGGGCCCACTCCCAAGCCTCTGCGCAGCGTCTCTCTGCAAAGCGGCTCCAGCGCGCATAGGAACAGGTAAGGCGCCAGGGGGCACCCCTGCCTGACCCCTCTGTCCATTTCCACTTTGTCGCTTAGCCATCCGTTGATAATCGCCCTTGTTCCTGCTCCTGCATGTAGGCCCTTGGTCCAGCCGATGAACCTATCCAGGATTCCAAGCTCCTTCATAACCTTGAACAAGAAGTCCCGCGATTCCGTGTCATACGCCTTCTGGAAGTCGACGAGCAGCAGTAGCCAGTCTTTACCGCCACTGTTCGCCACCTCCACCGCATCCGCAACCACTGACACTGCGTCAGCCAAGCTCTTTCCAGGTAAGAACCCATGTTGCTCCTTAGACAGCACCTTGCCCAGCACCTTCTTAAGCCTTGAAGCCATGATTTTGGTGACGAGCTTGTACATGACCGACAGTAGAGTGATAGGCCGATAGTTACCGAGATTGTCCATCGTTCCTTTTTTATGCAGCAGCACCGTTACAGCAGTTGATATTCCTTTCGACATCTTTGCCATTTCTGTGAACCCTCTAATGAACTCCATCACGTGTTCCTTGAGCAGATCCCAGTGCAGGATGAAATACTCCGTCGGGAGACCGTCTTGCCCAGGGGACTTCCCCTTCGACAGGCTCTCCAAGCCCTCTTTGACCTCCGCTCATGTCCAGTCAGCGCCTAGCATGTCTGCATCTGTGGGCGACATCCTCGCCCCTTCCGAGAACCTTACCCAATCCACTTCTTCCTCTGGCACCACCTCCCTGAAGGCAGTCCTACGGTGATTCGCCGCCGCTCTCAACACCTCCTTGGTCCCTCAGAAAGTCCTTCCCCCATGCGAGATCTCTTGTATCGACGTTCGTTTTTTCCGCATCTTGATCTTCGCCGACAGGTAGGGTGACGGGACCTCCCCGTTCAGCTCCACCCGGATGCCTGCCAGCACCTGCTATCTGTCTCTGCTGCTCCGCAGGTAGGCCTCCAAGTGCGCCTCCTTACAGACCAGCCTGTTATGCGCCCTTTTGTCACCCGGATGTTGCATCACCTTGTGCCGAAGGAACTCGACCGCCCGCTCAAGATGAATAACTGTTGCTTTCACCCTCTTTCTTTCCTCTCTCGTATACTCCCTAAGGCCGACACTGAGTAGCTTCAGCTTCTTCCCTAGGTCGACCCCTTCCTCTTTTTCTAGCTTCCTCAGGATGTTTGCAGTCACAGTACTAACTCCTCTCCGTTGTGCTTGTTTCGCCTGCATCCTCCACAGACCCGGACCCTGATCTACCGGCGCGGCGACCGCCAGCCCAACCTTTATCGCAAATCAATGATCGGTCAGACTCCTTGGTAACTTTACGTGCTTTGCTTCTGCCAGCATCCCCAGCAACGAAAAAGAGACCAGTCCCCTGTCGATTCGCGTGCTCGGCCCAGTCGCCCTGTCCCGGAAGGTGTATTCCGGTCTGGTTGGATGCAGCGCTCAGAAGGCATCCCTGAGGTCCGCCGTCCGCCAGAAGCTTAGAAGCCTCTGATTCTCGTTGCCCGAGCCTGTGCGTGATGTCCGGTCCAGGTCCGGATCCTCTACCAAGTTCAGATCCCCCAACACTACTAGGTGATTTGACGGCGGCTGTACATCGATGAACTGCGCAAGACAGCTCCGAAAGAACACCCCCCTGGCACATGCTTGTGCGGGAAGGTACATCGCCACCAGTCTGAAGGAGATATGTGCGTACTCTACTGTGACCAATACCAGTCTCCCCGATTGGTGAGTGATAATGTCCGTGAGTTTGATCTGTTCATTGAAGGCTAATACTGCGACCCCACCTGCTCTTTCACTGTTCCCCACCACCGCCGCTGATGACGGTTTCAGCTGGGTCCAGAAATTGTGATCTTCTCCTATCCTTGTGTTTGTGAGCACCACGACATCTGCCGCTGTTTTAATCCAGTGTGCGTGCTCCGTTCTTTTGCTGTTGCTTCCAAGGCCGTTGACATTGACCTCGCACAGTGTGAGGTTGCGGTTGTTATCCATTAATCCACTGGTAAAAGACCCCCTCGCATCCACGGGGTTGATACAGAGGCACCACTCCTACCAACAACTGCACTTGCGTAACAGGTACCGCACCACACTCCCTCCGTACCCATCCTTTATTGTTCCACCATACTTCACCACTTCTGGCATTATTGTCTGGGAACACACACTTTGCTTCTGTAGACCAGACTCCATTATGACGTACTTGTGGGGATGGAGCTTTTATACCGCGTAGGAGCCACCATTTGTACCTGGCAGGAGAAGGTTTTCTATCGAGTACAGTATTGGGACACGGAGAGCTCCGTGGGCACGTTGCCGGTGCGGTTCGTAAGGCAAAAGCCACGAGAAGCATATCAAGTCCGGAAACAGGACCTATCAGAAGAGCTAGACGAGTGCCTATGGGAGAGGTATGGAGAAGAGTATGAGAGGAGGGTCGAGCGGCTGACAGCCGGACAAGAGCCTCCACCACTGACGGTGCGGGTCAGCCGAGTGTGGACCTTGGAGGGATCCATCTGCATCGTTGAACTATATGGGGGAATCGGCGGCGGCTTGGCGGCAGCGCTGCGGGCGGGCTGCCCCGTAAAGAAATGGATTCACGTCGAACGTGACCCAGTGGTGCGAAAGATGGCACAACATCATGCGCTGTTGCTAGCCGAGGAATATCCAAACCAAATGTGGGAGACCGCCATTCCGCCGGAATCAGAAGGGTCTGTACACGATGTCCGAGACATCACGGAATGGGTGTTAGACGAATGGGGGCAGGTGGACGTGGTGATAGCAGGATGGCAATGTCAAGGGTATTCCCGGGCAGGAGAAGGGAGGGGAATGCAAGATGCGAGGGAAGCGTCATTCCGGGACCTCAAGCGGGTCTTGGATATAATACACAAGCGACAAGGCGAGGTCCTGTATATTCAGGAAAATGTAGACTTAGCCGAGGATCAACAAGAGCCGGTGAAGCGAGCGTTTGCGGAGATAACAGAGGTGCTGGGAAGGGGAGTGCCAGCCGACGTGGCTCAGCTGGGATCCAGGTCACACCGACCAAGGAGGTACTGGCAGAAGGGGATATGGATAGCAGCGCTGAGGCACTCGCTGGCTCAGATGCAAAAGCCAGAGCCGCGCTTGGTGAGCGACATCCTGGAGCCAAACCGCATGTCGGCCCCAGTCACCTGCCCAGACCACCCGTTGCTGTACGAATGCAATGAGCCTGGCAAACCTCAGCAATCGCTGCCGGCCCTGGTGGCCTATGAGGAGGCACGCGGATTCGTCATTGAAGGGGAACTGCCCAGCCCGGGGATGTTTTATGACGTTAGAAAAGGGAAGTGGGAGCAACCGACTGCGAATGAGAGAGAAGCAGCCATGGGACATCTGCGGGGAGCGATGGCGCACCTCGAGGTGACGGAACAGCACCGCAGAGCTGCCTTGGGAAGAGCCATGGATGTTAACGTGATGATGTGGCTACTGGAGACTATACGCATGCATCTGAAGGCGAAAGAGCTGCAGCGGGACATAGCGGCAAGCGAACGAAACTTGGAGTTCGAGACGGCCGAGTGGCACAGGAAGGTGCTGGCCGAAATGGAGGAACGATACGAGGAGCAAGTGGAGGAAGGATGGGCGTACATGGCGCTGGAAGGGACAGGGGACGGGACCGACGACAAGACAGCTGCTGTGGAAGAGAAGACAAGGAAGGAAGAAAGGGGCCTGGAAGAAGATTGGCCCCTAGGAGAAGGGATGGACAGAGCAACTGCGGCAGCAATGCTTGAAGTACTGCGGCAGCACCGGGAAACCTTCGCTTACATGCTGCAGGAGCTGGGAAAGTGCAAGACCCATGAGATGAAGATCGAGCTTAACAGTGAAGTCACAATATACCACCGGAAGCGCCGGATGAGTCCGGGAGACGTGGATATCTGCACGGAGAAGTGCGAGAAACTGATGGCGGCGGGGTTGATTCAGCGGTCGGAAAGTGATTACGCAGCGGCGACGGTCGTGGCTTCGAGGAAGGACCTGGCGAGGAGGTCTCAGCGAGGGGGATGTGTGGGGACTACCGAGGATTGAACAAGGTTACAGTAGCGGACCGGTACCCTATGCAGTCGGCTGAAGAGATTTTTCATAAATTACAAGGAGCCAAGGTGTTCGCAACCCTAGAACTACGCCAAGGATTCAACCAGATCCCGATTCGACCAGCCGACCGCAAGAAAACTGCGTTTCATAGGCCGGAGTGCTTATACGAATGGAGGTTTATGCCGTTCGGGATGAAGAACGCGACGGAGTTGTTCCAACGCATCATGGACACTGTTCTGCGATGAGTTCCAGTAGCGGCATGCTACATTACAGGAAGTCCATACCCAATTTCAGCAAGTCAGTGGCGGTCCTGAACGGATTGCTGAGGGAAGACCAGAAGTGGCAGTGGGGAGAAGAGGAGCAGGAGGCTTTGAGGGCTCTGCTAAAAGCCGTGAAGATCGCCAGTGTATTGACACTGCCCAACAAAAAAGACCTGTTTGTGCTCTATACTGATTGGAGGAGCGCGTTGATGGAGGCAATTCAGTGCCAAAAGAGGGAGGGCGAAAAGAAGGTAGTGGCGTTCGCTAGCCGGAGCTGCAATCCCGCAGAGGCTAATTACAGTTCTTATGAAGCGGAGAGGCTGGCGGGTGTTTGGGCAATTACGCACTTCTGAGTGTACTTGCAAGGGAGAGCATTCGAGCTAGTGACGGATCACCAGCCGTTAACCTGGCTGATGACGAATCACGCTTTGACTGGGAGGAATGCCCGTTGGGCAATGCGCCTACAAGAGTACGACTTCTCGATTTGAAACAGGGCGGGCAAGACAATGCAGCATGTCGACGGGCTCTTCTGGAATCCACCGTCTGACAGGCCTACGCCATGCCTGGTGGCATTGGCAAGAGAGATAGACGAGGGGGCCAGCCGGACACGGAGAACGGGGCCAGAGGACGTTTGGGACGATCAGGAAGTCATAGATTGTGTGCAAGGGAAGACGACAAAGACAACTCCAGTGAGCGAGAGAGCCAGGGCACGCGTGGCCCATTACCGTTGGCACCAAGATCAGCTGCAGAAGAACACGCATAACGGGTGGAAGTTGGTACCGAGGAAGAGTGAGCGAGAGCAGATCATACAAAGTGTCCATCGGCAACTGGGACACTATGGGAGCTTGTGGACCGCGGAACTGGCGGAAACCGGCTGGTGGTGGGAAAGGATGAGGAAGGATATTAGGGAATGGGCTGAAGCATGCAAGCTCTGCAGTCGGAACTGAGCCGAGCTGAAGCGCGGCAGGAAGGAACTGCAGTCTCTGCCTATTCATGGGATTGGGTTCAGATGGTCATTAGATTTGGCAAGGGAGATGAGATTGAGCCGTCGGGGAAAGTGGTACATTCCGATTATGATCGAGCATGGCAGCAAGTGGGTGGAAGTACGGGCACTACCCAGCAAAAACTCTG